GGGGGAGGGGGGGAGGGGGCGGAGGAGGAGGAGGAGGAGGAGAAGGAGGAGGAGGAGGATACGACACTGCAGGGAAACGCCGCGCGGTGCGCAGAGACGCTCACCTAAGAAAGGAGACAGGGCCAGACGCCCGCCTCGGGATCTGTCAGTGGCGCGCCCCCCCACCCGAGGGATCGCGGGAAGAGCGCCCAGACCCATGATTGAAGAAGGGAAAAGGAACTGGACTGGCGCAGGGAAAGCGTCAGCCCAGAGCTCCAGACAGGTTTGCGGCATCACCTGGGACAGCGTTCTGCACTATCCTCCAGGCTGTGCCCCCCTCAAAGCGAGGGGAGTCCACCGAAGCCACTCCCTGGGAGCGGAGGTGTGTGGCGTCACCTGGGACCGCACGGCTCGTGCTATCCGCCAGGCCGTGCCTCCCGCAAGACGCAGGAAGCCCACCGAAGCCACTCCCTCGAGAAATGCCCTGAACCAGGTCTGCGGCATCACCTGGGACAGCACAGCGCGTGCTATCCGCCAGGCTGTGCCCCCCTCCGTACGAGGGGAATCCACCGAAGCCACTCCCTGGCTGCTGGGGCTGGAGATCCAGACAAGCCGCATTGGGCTGACCAGGTCGATCGTGAGAGGACGGGAGGAGGACGACGAAGGGGGAAGAGGAGGAGGAGGGGGAGGAGGGGGAGGAGAGGGGGAGAACGGGGAGAGGAAAGGAGGAGGAGGAGGAAGAGCAGCAGGAGGAGAAGAGGACCAGTGAAAACCCAAGAGTCATCAACGATGTTGGAATAAACCCTCCCTCCAAGCTCCCTTGCATAGGCCCCTACGACGGTTCTTTTACACTGAGGGAACTGCCTCGTTGGAAGACAACCGTTGAAGACCCTGAGGCATGCCAACACATTATTCTCGGGACTCCAACGCCGTGGATCAACCTGACTGTTGCGCCTTGACGATCCTGATTCGTGCCAGAACGCCATTTCTGGGACTTCAACACCGCGAATCAACGGAACTGTTACACCCTCATAATCCCGAATCTTTCCCAAACGCAAGTTCTGGTATGTTGACCATGGGAACCCGTGAAACTCTTGCAAATTTCAACATTTGATGTGCGCGGCACTAAAGCGAGAGTCACAACTTGATAACGGCCCGCCCTAAATCCATAAAACTCCTGCACGGTGTTGAAACGAATGTGACGGCGCGAGGGCGAGAGCCACATCTTGAAAACGACCCGGCCTCAATCCGTGAAACTCTTGCAATTATCTTAAAACAAATGTGCGCGGCGCTAAGGCGAGAGCCACATGTTGAAAGGCACCCGCCCTCCATCTGTGAAATTGTTGCCGATGCTTCAGCTGCAGGGTCATGAGTGGTGAGGAAGGTGAGGAAATTCCAGGCGTAACGCCCGGCCCACCCTTTCGACCGGCCCCCGGGTGCGACAGGGAGAAATAATGTATAAAGAAAAGGAATTGACGAGGAGGAGGAGGAGGAGGAGGAGGAGGAGGAGGAGAAGAAGAAGGGGGCGAGGGGCGGAGGGGAGAGGGGGAGGGGGGGGGAGAGGGGGGAGGGGGGTGGGAGGAGGGGGGGAAGGGAGGAGGTGGGGGGAGGAAGCGGGGTACGGAGGGGGGCGGGGGAGAAGGCGTCACTGGCCACCTTCGCCGCGTCGGCTCCGCTCCTGGCGCTCCAGGCGCAGAGACAGCCGACCGCGACGGCATTGCGCGCCCCGAGGCGGGCCCCGAATGGGAGACCCCCCTGGGCCAGCGCTGGATCCGCCCTGTTCCCCCCGTTTCTACCCACCTCCTGCCTTTTCCCCCGTCTCCCCGCCAACTAACCCACGTCAATCCCTCCTTGCTGCCACCCGCCTATCGCTCCCTCCCCCCCTCTCCACCACACCCTGCCCCTCCACCAACCCTGATGCACATGTGCTCGATGTCACCAGCACGCACCGACACACACAGACCAAATGGAGCAGCTGATGGGCAGCCATCCCGATGCATCGCTGCACCCTCTGTCCCCCTCCCCCAGCCCACGAACGCGGGCAGTGACTACCCCGTGAGGGGGCCACAAGTCTCCGAGCCCCCCACGAACCCTCATGAATGACCGATGACCGCCCCTTTCTATCTGCAGAGGATCAACGCTCCCAGCGGGCCAATAGGGCCAGTGCTCCCAGGGCCACGGCCCCTTGCGACTTACAAGCGATCCGCGCTCCCAGCGGCGACGATCCTTCATAAATGACAGAATGGGTCCGCGATCCATGGGGAAAACCACCCCTCGCAAACTACAAACGGTCCGCGTTCCCAAGGCCACGATCCACAACTGAAAAGGATGTGCGCTACTAGAGCAGAGATCTCTTGAAACTGCCTATAGAACCTCGCTCTCAGGGCAACGATGCCCTCTAGATTTCTAAGAGGCCGCGCTCCAGTGCCAGAAATATTTCGTTCTTACAAATGGTTCGCACTCCTGCGGCCGCGAGCCTTTGCTACTTCAAAGGGTCCGCGCTCAGAGGGCCACGATCCAGTAAGTTACTAGGGGGTCGCGCTCCGAAGGCAGCGACCCCTTCGTAAACTGACAGAGACACCAGGACCCAACGACGGCCCAAAGATAGCGACAACAAGACCCTGACAGCCCCAGACGGAGAAGGAGCAGAAGCAGCAGGAGAGGAAGAAGACGCCATTGACGGCGACAAGGGATCCTTCGATAGCTAGGTCTGGGGGGCCGACGGCAATGGCCGAAGGCCTTCAGACCACAACGCGCAACAATGGAGCACGTGACGTCAAAGTTCACTGCATTATTACGCTGTTTGGAAGTGCGCTTGATTTGTGCGGAAACCTCCTTTAAACTGCGAGCTATAAATACAGCACCATGCTGTCCAATGGCTCCACTGGCATCAGAGTAAAACGTGGACTGAGAAAAAAAAACGAACGGGATAACGACGATCGACCAAGTCATCGGAGCTCTGGAGCGCACCAGGCCGTTGGCTCCTGTGGGCTGCGTCGGGCTCTTGCCAGCTCCTGGGTGTTCCTGCATTATGTTCTCTACTCCAGGGGCCTTGCCCCTGTGGTTGGGAAGCCAGGCCTTCCAACATGCGCCAAGTTGGCCCTCCAGGGGCCCGTCTTGGGCCTGAGCCACGCTTGAGGAATAGGACCCCAAGACAGCCCCCAAGAGGCCCAACAGGGGTCCCCAAGGTTGCCGCAAGAGGGCTCGAAAGGGGCACTGCGAACGAACCCAAGGAGGGTCCCCAGCCCCAGAACGAGAAGGTCACCAAGAGGCCCCCAAGGGAGCCCCAACAGGCCCCGAAGAAGCCCAGGCACCACGAAAGTAACGTATGCCCAGCCATGCAGGCTCTCCAAGAGCATGGTCGGAAGCGTGATGTGGCATCCAATCGGTCCCTCTGCGTCTTGGCCCACAAGTCAGGCACCTTGACGGGGATGAGACAAAGGTCGCTGTACAACGGCATGACACACGATACAGGAAACGAGCATTGCGAAAAGCACTGGATGATTATACGCATGCACTGGCCTGGCCTCGTACAAAGTTTAATATGCACGGCCGAACACCTCTGAAAACGCGCCAATGAACGTGCGTCACACTCTTGACATTATCAGGATCGGAGCTACGTCGATACGCCAACGGGGTGGGAACCCATATGTTCGCTCACGTGGGCCCCAAACAGTGAGCCACTACAGAGCAGATGCATAAGCTACGTGGTAGAGTGTACGTTGTGCAAGCTGCTTAGTCTAAGCTGCGTGATGATAGCTGCGTTGTGCAAGCTATGTAGTGCAAGCTCCATGGTATAGGATATGTGGTCTCATAGATATTGCATAATACATGTGTTGCCATATACGTCGTGCAGCCGAGGGGTACGAGTAACACTACGAACCGCATGTCAGTCACTTGGAGGCGAGAAAGAATACTAGGCATAGCATCTGTAGTGGTGGCAGAAAAAAAGTAATGACGCGGCCAACAGAAACAGAAGCAGAAGCAAGAAGAGAAGCAGGAGGAGGAGACCATAAAGTGGAGGAAGGGAAGGACAAGCGAGAGTGGTTGATCGTATTGCAGAGCCAACGCATCTCAGAGCCGATGGAGGTTCTTCATTTAAGCGCGCGCGCTCTCCGCCCTGAGTTAGTCCTTACCAGGCGGGCCGTTTCGCGATAAGTCGAGCGGCGACTAAGAGCGGCGACAAGCGGGAAAGGGCGGCCACGGGGCGAACCATCGACACACGCGTCCAACTCCTGAAGGGCATGAGGAGGAATCTCTTGGGCAAGCACTGATTGGGGGATTACCTGATAAAACAGCTATAATCAAGACGAGCGGCTGCCTCATTCAAAGACAGTTCGGGCATGCACTCCACAGCGACGCTGACAGGGGCTACAACGTCCTCGAAGCTAGCAAGGATGACGTGAGGGCGAAAAGCTGCACGCCCAAGAGCTGTTAGTAGGGCATTGCTCTGGTGCAGGGCAGCAGTATGTTCACATTGGCTGCAGGACGGGAATGCCAGCGAAACAGAAGCTGTTGACCTCTCGTGGGCACTAAACACCTGAGCACCTCAAACCATGTGATTCGGGCGCGGCTACCCGTCTAGACTTTACTTTCATCCGGTCCATTAAGCACCTGGTTCAAGGCAGCAGGCTCGAACTGGAAAACGCTAGCGACTTTAAAGTTATCAGGAACTCTCGCTGCACATCCACGCGCTGGCATTTCAACGTCAGTGCTGGAGCTAGGGCACCGCGCGCACAACTGTGCACTAGAAATGGTCAACGCGGCCGAGTCCCGCTCTCTCGCCGAAGCAAATTACGAACTCAACATTCTACTGGCCCAGCCAAAATATAGGCAAGTACCACGATGCATGAGAGAGATGGGGCGCTAGACCGTTGTTGGGTGATGATGACATCGTTGATGCAGACCCGGGCCCAAAGCTTGTCATGGCAGTGAGGAAAATGCAGTACACTGGAATACTTCGCGCGCATAAATCCGCATACTAATGCTAGCAGGCGCACTGACGTGGCCCCCAAACAACAACCCTTCCATCAGAATGTGAAGAGTGAGCCAAACCGAATCCGCCCAACATCAAGTCCAACTGCAGCCCAGCAGGCACGGACGTGTGAGTATTCGAAAATACTTTCGACGTTACATACTACTGCGCTCGATGCTAATCTCGGCATGGACACAGTGGGAAGTGCATTGCATTGAATAGAGTCGTGCGCTACAGCCTGTGGTCAAACGTGTGTTCGCCGCCACTATTTCTCTTCATGCGATCTAGGCTCAAGACTACACGATGATGACACAAGTTGCCCAAATATCGTCCAACTGCCTGTTCTGCCACGGACGCCCAAATCCTGAATCGCTCCTCCCGACGAGAAGCGAAAAAAAAGGAGAAGGGAGGGCTTCGGCAATCTTTTTCAAGCGCGAGCACTTCGCGTGCCAGCACGATCTGCCTCTCTAGCCGTAGCGCAGAAGGAAAATCGCGGCTGGTAACAGGACGTGGACAAAGACTTGAAGCAAGGCTAGAGCGATGCGGCATCTTTCGACGAGGCGCTACTCTGCAAGCGCTCCGCTCACCTTGTCCACCGCGGGCCTCGGGGCAGACGGTGGGGCAGAGCACATTTCGATGAGGAGGCAGAACCCTCCCGAGACATCCCGTTCTTGTTTCAAACAAGTAAAGTCGGACCGACACGAGGCTAGAACTGCGCAAACAACCCCTACACAACTGAAGAACACGAACTGCGACGCTTTACACGCCAAGTGTACGGCCATGTTCCTACGGCACGTTTGAAAAACTGTGACCTTATATGATCCAGATGTTCAGAATGATCACATGTTGAATGAATGTATGTGTGGTTGACATGTCGTGCCCATCGGACCTACAGGCACATGATGCATGCACACACACACACACATGAAACCTTAGCGCGGGCCATGTACATATGGATACATACCGCAAGGAATACGTTATCACGGGGTAAATGTGCTGCTTTACCAGAGGCCACGCACCCGCACCCTGCAGTAACAGGTGTGCATGGCCATATGCCTAAAGACAAAGTACATCGCACTACCGCACGTTATGCTAACATGTGCTAGATTGCGGGCGGCCGCCTTATGTATCAAATTGCTAAGCCACCTCGCAAACTTACGTACATGTACCAGGCCGTGCGACTACGCTTCAGCGGGAAATGAGGGGCGCGCGGGTCCCCCAGGCACAACCCGCTCGACGCTTCCCCATCCTAGGCGCCGCCCACATACCAGCGACTCATCCCGCGACGGACGGCGCAGCCTCGTTTGGGGCAAACCCTTCGGCACAATGCTGGAAATGCGCGGCGCCCCCTTTCCCCTCCCACAGCCGCCCACTCCTCGCCCCCCCCCCCCCACCGCCCCTCCCCTCTCGCGTTATAGATGTATAGCCCCACACGGGGTGGCATGCCTGCGCCCGCGGAAAAAAAATGCCTGCGGCGCCTGCGATCAAACAAGATACACAGGCGATGCCTGTACCCTATTACTTGACGCTGATAAAAGCGAATGCCAGCAGTGCCAGCGGCAACGCAGCGGCACACAGACCACGCCTGAACTGTGATGTTTCGAGCCGTGAAATGAGAGAACGCCTGCAGTGGAAGAAAGATTGGCCTAAACACGGACACGCATCTGATGCGTGTCCGTGTTTAGGCCAATATTTCATGGGGCTCACCGCGCCATCTTTTGCGCACGTCTTCAGGACGTACTTACCATAAGAACTTCGCAAATAGTCGGTGGTGTTATATGTATACATATG